TATCGATATTTTCAACTTTTACTATCGATATTTTTCTTTTATTTAATTTCTTTTAAAAATTGTTTATTGTATGGCATAAAAATAAATAAATTTAACCCTTTCAGTCCCGAATTATGATCTGGTGGAAAAAAAAAATATTTTGTGTGTTTTTTACATAAAACATACTCAAATTAAGAGAAATTTCAAATTTTGAAATTTTCAGACTACCCAAACTTGAGTTTTGGTGACTTGCCATTATAATGGCAATTGGGCGTTAAATATAATTACTTACGCTGCCATTTTAATGGCAGTTGGGCTTTAACGTATAACACACTGTATCGTATAAATCAACTTTATTCATAACAAAATAAGCAAAGTAATTAACAATTTTTAAAAACTGATAATTCGAACAAATATAAAATTTAAAAAACAATAAGAAATTAAGTAAGTATACATATTAATTGTTATGCATAGGGTTATGCATAGGGTATGCAGTTATATCAAACAAATAAAACACTCTTGAAAGTTATAATAATAGGAAAATTAATATTATAATACAAATAAAAAAGTATAGGTACCTAAATATTGAGATTAAAGTAACATAGATATATGTTGCAGTTATAGGTATTGATATATGTAACTATATGATTATATACAATGTGGCCGTCTACAATTGTGCTTTAACGTACAACACACTATAATATCATACAAATAAACTTTATTCACAAAAAAATAAGCAAAAAAAATAACAATTTTTAAAAACTAAAAATTAGAACAAATATAAAATGTTTAAAACAATAAGAAATTAAGTTAATACAAATATTAATCATTAAACATATGGCAGTCTTTGCAGTTACATCAAACAAATAAAAACACTCTTGAAAGTTATAATAAATACAAATATAATAAAAACAAATACTAAACACATCTTTTTAGTAATCACAATAGTTTAATAAACTTACATAATATTAATAGGTATGATTGTAATAAGAATTAATTATGATAATCATAAAAACAATTTCTATTTTTGGTTATACATAAATTGACATTACATTTTTTGCATACCATATGGGTTCTTTTTTTACACCCCTCTAATTTGCAGAATGTGGCATCTCTTAATTTATCCATGTATACATAATGGCTTATATTATCTTTTCTAGTCGCATCAGTAGGGTATCTATCAATTACACGATTTTTTGTGCGCGTTTTAGGTTGATCTATAATTTTGTTAGATGATGATGGGCGGCCTCGTTTCCTGGAAGGTGTTTCTACAGAACTCCCTAAAGAAATTAATGTTGATGCTAAATTTTGCTTAAAGCCTAATAAGTCCATTACTTTTTTTTTTGGTAAATTTATTGCTTCAGCATCATTTTTATATTCTAACCATGAGTTACAAGTAGCCATGTCAAAAGAGTGAAAGAGCATACGCAAAGTCCATTTCCTAGATTTTATAAACACTCTGTAATAGCTAATGAGTTGGTCATGCAAATCTACCCCACCCATTGAATCATTATACAATTTCACAATTTCAGGACGACCTACTTCAACATAAGTTTTTTTTTTCTTATCATATCGCTTAACAATATCTGGGTTACCTGATGTCACAAAGTTAGAAGCAAGGATGACAGATTTATTATCTAACCATTTAATTAGACTAACTTTTCCATCTGTTGAGCTAACTTCATAGGAAGCTCCCCTTCCTAAAGTATTAAGTTCTTTATCACTTATAACCGGAGGATTAGCAAAACGATTTATTCTAATTGTCCCAGCAGCTTTAATTCCCAAAAAATCAAGTGATGTAAAAAGATTGTAAGACCCAAAAAAATTATCAAAAAATAAATAATGTTTGTTTTTATTTAAATTTTCAACCAATTGTAATACTATAGAACCCCCAAGGCCATATTTTTTTTGCATCTCCTGATTAATTTCAGTTGAACTGCCCTGATATAAAATCATATTGTAAACCATACCATTATAAGAGCAGAGTAAAAAATGTTTAATACCCCAAGGGCAGGGTTTGCCTTTCATATATTGCTTGACACTTAACTTCCCTTTAAATTTGACCATTTGTTCATCTACAGCTAGATTAGTTTCTATTGGCAATTCCTTACAACGATTTAAAAAAGAATTATAAAGCGGTCTAACTTTAATAAATTTATCAACATTATTATCAGGAATATCATCATTATTCATAACATGGAAACAAGACCTTAACTGAAAAAACCGATTTCGAGACATATTATCCGCAATTATATTTACTCGATCCTCATTAGTCCAATATGCTCTTATCCTAGTATGTTTAAGACAACCAATTTTCAAATGTATACCCACAAATACTTTCATTTCTGAAGGTGTAGTATCTACATACTTTAGAAAATTATTTTGTTTGGCATAAATATTTGTGAACTTGGCCATGTTTTCAAACTCTACCTCAGGAAAGTACTTACTAAAATATTCTATTGGTGATAGAGTCATATAAGTAGTTGATAATTCTGGAACTGGTGGTGAAATGCTTAAAGAATTACTGACAAATGGTTTATTTGTCCATTTCATTTCATTTTTGGAGTAATATGGTAAGTTATTGAGATGTAGTCCGTGCCGTCTGTGGTCAACAACTGGTATGACTGTTATATTTGGTGGTATTGCAGGTGTACTTGGCCGATCTACTAAAACAATTAAAAT